TGAAATAATTTTCACTGTGATTCAATTAAACGCGATCGAATTCCATTTACAATTCATTCTTCGACATTTGCAGATTTCATAATATCACAGTAATATTTCTCCTGTAATAAAATCCAGCATCAACTGTAGATAATGCAGATTATGTTAATAAATTGTTTTAGTAGCCGTCAGAGATACGTCAGAGACGTCTTTCATGATACATTTTATAGCCAATTACAATGCTTGTTTTCAGCTCCAAACAGTTAATATGGAAATGTCACCCGTTCTTGAAGTTTTCGTTCAACGGTCTTTACTTAATACCTAGTAACATTTTGTCCTACCAATGTAACGCAATTTCTCGGATATATCCGATCATAGTAATATTTCCTACTTCTACAACCGATAATAAAGAATTCCCTGCAACAAAGAGAAGACGTACGAATAAACGGACAAACGGGTCATAGAGCACAGGAATTAAAGATTGGAACTGGATTTTCAATAGTGCGTCCAGTAAATGTAGGTTCCAGTGAAATAGCACTTCGACAGAGTATAAGGAACATAGATAAGGCACGTAAACCAATATGAAGTAAGAAGGAAAAGACGATGAAGTGTCACTTACAGATTCGTCGAAAAATAGCACGAGACCTGATTTAAAAACTTCAATTTACGCCAACAATCGATCGTTACTCGAGCCTTGGGAATTAAATTTCGGACATATAAGTTGGACGGAAGCCATTTAAACGTAGACGACTCAAGCTACAAAGGGATGCCTGTTACAGGAAATTGGTTGGTCGGTCGAATATGCGAGTGACTCAATTTTCGATAATGATAGACAATGGTCTTTATCAATTACGGTAAGTCATTAATCACGGAACATATTTAACACAGATATGATTTTCATTTTCCTAAATGATTGCGAATTCCGTTTGCAATAGGAGCAGTATAACCTGAACGAGGAAAATTCCAGGTTTATACAAAACAGTGCATAATGCGGGATTTAAGCTTGTAATCGATGATTAACGTATCGCATGGATTACACTCGCTCACGTGTAAGCACGGAAAATCACTATCGCATTAAACAACAGAGCTGGGAGATCTCTGCCGATAAAGTAAATCTCGATGAAATTTCATTTCGCTAAATACCAATTTACATACAAGTTTGATAATGTCAGCGAACCTTTATCAAAAAAATCAATTCGACAAACATACAGTTCGTGGAATTATATCATGTATAATTATTTTCGTTTAAATATTAACAATTTCGAAACTGCCTTGCTTTAATTGTAGTAAAAATTTACATCGATGTATATAAAGTTTGATTAAATATGCTGTGGTTCGATGTCAAATTGGCTTTGTTATTTTTAAAAATATTACAAATTCGTTTGAATAACTAAACCTTTTTGTTATCCGTTTGTTACATTTGAATAACATTAAAACACGATGAGATTGTTTTTTAATATTTCGTATTTTTTAAAAACCGTCTTTCATAATCATTTATATTATTTACGAGATATTTTTATTCTATAATTCAAAGATTCGATAAAAATACACGAAATCACGAAACATTTACGATTTATACGAAACACGATTACTTCTGGCGCCATCTATTCTGGTATTTATGTCTTTGTTCGATGCAAACGTGCTCACACGGTCGTATATGAATACACACGATAAATATCAGTAGCAATAACAAATTTCGATATATCTGTCTCAATGGACCGGAGAATTTGGTTGAAACTTGTACGTTTCAACTTTTCCATATGATGGTACGCGATGATCCGATTTCGAGATCGGATCATATTGGATCTTCCTTTTCAGCTATTTACTCATAGATTGCTACGCGAACTTTAGAGTTCACGCGTAATTTTAAACAATGTATATTTTATTTCAGCGCGTACAACAAATAAACAAAGTTTTTAAGAGAGGCTACACAAATATTATTGAATATTCTTTTTAATTGTTTTATCGTTGTAGCATTGCAGAACAACTATAACAGAGAATTATATTTTACGATTTAAGGTCTCTGATTGAAACGTGATACAGAAACGAGGTTATTCGAATATTGAAATTCGACAGCATTTTGTTTCGTGAAACAGTCTTACCCGATCACGTGACTTCTACACACCAAAGCGTTAATTACACCGAGAAAGAATTGTCCAAAGCGAGTTTCGATTTAGCGTGAAATTTGTAAAATTTTTACAATTTCCAACCTATTCCTATCTAAATGGAAATAAAACGAAAATTTTGTATTTATCCGTGAACACCGCGCATTCATCGAAAAGCGAAGATTTTAATTAAAATTCACTACAGCCAAAGGAAAAATTAAACGAATTAATTAAAGCTCTGTTTCTCGCTTTTTTACCTTCCGAACAATGGAGGTGGGAAAATCAGTAGAACTTTCGGTACAAACTAAAATCTAATTTACCTGGCGTTCTTGTATATATATATATATATTAGTTTGGTAATTCGATTTATATCAAGTTTATAAATTCGATTTGTAAGTTTCAATTGGAAGGTTTTTCACGAGAAGCGGCTTAAAAGAAAAATTACAATTCAGTACTTTTTGGCTGAAATGATTTGAAAACAATGAGTTATACTGACGGTCGATTTGTTCGAGCCGCGAAAGTAAGCTTTCGAAAACCGACACTTCGTTTTAAACTAACAAGAGTTATCGACTGTGATTTAGCGTCTAGTTGGTTTAATTTAGCAAGTACACGCGGCGTTCGTTAGTTTGCACATCTGCGTTTCCTTCGCCTCTGTCAATCTGTGTTTCTCTATCCCGTCCGTGTTAATCAGTTCACATCGCGTGATCGAAGTTGTCGATGCTGTAGCACGCATAGAATCGACTACAGTAAATGTTCTGAAGAGATCTGGTTTACTCTCGAATAATTTCAAATCGACGCACGATGTAGTACCAACGCATGATTGATAATTGCTTCTCTACGAGTCAACTTCGATGAGAATCCTCTGAATGCGCATTTTGATGAAAATATTTCCTGCAAATAAAAGTCTTGTTATATTTCTCTTATTAATTGTTATTTACAAACAATGATACGTTTTACACGTTTAATTCATGTTAGACTTCAAATACCAAATTAAATCTACTTAACCTAATCTTTTTTAGGATATCTGTATATACGAATAATATATTTCGTTTCAAAAGATCACTCTGTGATAAAACAAAGGAAACCCACCAGGAGATGTAACGAACCGTTTAATTCGTGTAATCGTATACGACAGCTTTTACGCCGAGCAATCCGGCAGTTTTGTACGTTAAGCATGTTTCTCGAATAAAAACGGCGATGAAAACCACATCCTCGAAGGACGTTCTTTAGATCTGCTATGAAACAAGAGGGCGCTTTACACTTCCTCGTAAAAACGTTACGCGCACGTGCATACTTTAAATTGACGAATGCACAATTGGTTATATTCATGAAACTTCAAAGACAGTATCGGATCGGACCGTGATAAAACACAATTTCTCATAGGAAGAATAATTTCGGTTTGCATAAAAAAACTACCTCGATATAGCTCGGTTCGACGAAACAATACGAAAGCCGGAGTATAAAGAGACTGAGAAAAAAAAACCATCACACGCGAACTGGTGGTAGCAGCTGCGCGAGAAGACGGATTCCCGTTAAAAACGACCGATATCGTCGAAAATAATGGCCTGGAAGGAACGCATTTTGGCATGACGGACAGACCAGATACCGCGGAATGGATTCGAGCCAGCCGGAATGATATCTCTTAAACAAATTTTACGCTCTGTGTTATCTTACACTGCTCGAAATTCAAAACGCCGAGGACATACGCCAAATTTTTTCTGATGTTTTCTGTGGCGCCCAAATAAAAGCAACCGGAGCAACACAGGCCGGTAATGTTACTCGCAATTATCCCGATAACTCTCTGTTCTCTGCTCTCTTCCAATAATTGAAGCTTTTTGCACGATGATTGCAAGCGCGTTAGACTCAAACACACGCTCACTTGCTATATAATGCACGTGCTACACGCTCGCACCAACCAGCTGGCCGAGATCAAGATGAGCAAGCGAGTAGTCGAGTCACGCGAGGAATTCAGCTCCACACGCATTGAGCGTGCGGGTGCGCGCACACGTTCGCGGGGATTAGCAACGTTCACTTTCACGTGCAATTATCTGCCTTTTGCGAGCTTGTCTCCTGGGAAGTATTATCGCACGAGGGAGCGAGAGTCGTCTTGTTCCTTCACCGTGAGGCGGACAAAGACGGGCAGCAGATGGTTCTCGGTTGAGGCTGGTTGGTGGGCGAAGAATTTTCCAATTCTACTTTGTTAGTCGTAACAGGTTGTTTTCTCGTGAGATCGAAGCATTTACACGCGATCGTTGCTTTATACCCGTGCAATACGAGCGCCTTGGGAATTTCGTTTGAAGGAATGCAAGCGCGAGATACATACCGATATATACATGTTTTTAAAAGATGTGCTATTAATGTTCAACTGAGAATTTGCTGAGAAATTCTTGAGGATTTCCCTATGCACTTTATTTATTTTTCTGCTCTGCTCTATTGCTTCTTTTTCCCTCTAAGAAATAACAGTATACCATGAATATTTCTTATGAAACAGTTGTGGTTCTTGATTAATAAAAAAGAACTTACTATTAAAAGATGCGCATATGGATTTCCATTGTACTGAAATTTCTTTCTGCTCCATGATAACTCGAAACAACTTAGTAATACCAGTCTTCTAAAAACTTCCAATTGGACTACGAACTTCTCATCTGCCTTGTTCACTTCAACTCTCTCGCACAGATTACTATCTATTTAGAAGTTTGGACCAGTTTCTTAAAAAACAAAAAATGGGAAAAGTGAAACAGACTGATTAACTAAGGAAGTATGCTCTTTGAATTCAAGATTAAAAAACTTTTCCTCCGTCCACGGAAATGTACATAAGCTAATGAAGTGTCCTTTGGTAAACAAACTTTTCAAATGGTAAACATAATATTTCAGCAGTTATTAGCGAAAAAGAAAATAAGTCCTCACGTACGTCTGCACGCTGGTGGTACAATGGTTCATAAAACTAGTGCGGTAAATAGCTTATAAGCTGCTTCTGTATAATACCACTGTGTCGTGTTTCAGATTGAAATTCCATAGAAATAACAGATTGTCGTTTCACGAAACAAACACGAATCTTGCTAATTGGCAATTTCGCTTTCTCTGATACAAACTTCCGCAAGTACGATATTCATGAAGACGTAACCGTTTTCATTTTCGTTATCATTTCATCTCGCCTTATTTTCATCTTCGTCGACGCCGACGTCTTTTCTATTTTATAGTTAACGTACTTCTCTCACTGCACGGTTAATGTCCGTTTTTTAACTGTCCCATCTTCTTCGTTCTCCGTGTATTTGCAATGCATACCAGGGTTCGTGCTAGCCATGGAAGATTATCCCTGGGGCATAATAAAAATTTTTCCTTCCAGATGCTACCAGACAAAATTTCCTTCGTAATGGAAGTCACTCTATTATCTTACCTTGGATAATTAGGTCGAACCTCTCTAGGTATTTTTTCCCTCAACCTCCCGCCCAGTAACGCGGACGCGGCGTTGCAGCAGGGATAAATTCAGATGTGAATTAATGTAGGTAGGAAACTTAATGGAGGTGGCTCAGGTGGATCGAACATGGATTACTTTCGTAGGAAACATAAAATTACGTGGAAATTCGTTTGACATCTTGTTTTATCAAACGTTGATATCTAATTTTCCTCTTGTCGAGTATTTTGCAACTATAAAAATGAAACGGACTCTGACTGTTGCTTACCTTTTAATATCTTTAAATTATTATGTAAATTTTCTTCGTTTCATCCCAGAATAATGTAAGGGTAGAAATCTCAAAGAAAATACAGTCGAGAGACTACGTTTAATAAATTTCGTAAGTACGCTGTTATGATTACCTTTGAAAAACAAATTTAAAACGCTAGCTTATTTCATGTTTTCGCAAAACAATGAAGTTGTTTATAGTTCGCGCATTGTTTACACAGCAAGTAGCTTTAATATTGATTTTCGAAGGATCGTTGTGTTTAAAGTACTTTTTCCTCGCCAATATAGTGAATCATTTCCTAAGAATACTGTAAACACGTGAGCCATAAACAAAGTTAAGAGTTCTTCAGATTATTCAACAAATTTGGAAATAAATATTCATCCACAATCCATGTCATACGATATTATTGAAATAATTATTTTCCAATGTGTTTATATTATCTGTTGATATTAATATCATCATAGGAATATTAATCAAATTTCAAATTTAACTGTTTCCGTAATTTAATCTTTGTAACGTAAGCTACATGTAGTTTACAAATCGTCTCTGCAATTTGCAAATTGAAAATATACCTTGTAAATTAACGAGGTTGAAAACGACACATTTACTACTTTGACTTACCCAGCAAATCATCATGAGAAAATACTTCAGTACTGAAGTTCCAATTATCTCAAATACGGGGACAAACAAATTGACCAAAACGTTTGTAGGATTAATTACGTGATACCATTTCACAGTAGCGAAATGTTTTGCATCAGAACCAATCTAAAGCTTAACCAAAAAAGAACTGAAAGATAATGTCAACGTGATTCGCACACGAACCTTTATAGAATTTTATATCATCCAGTGCCACGCCCAGTTTTACGTGTGGATATGATGAAAAAAGCCCATCGGCAAGAAAAGCTAAAAAATTAGGAGACAATAAAAATTATGACACTTTAACGACCTTCCTATCTGTGACATTAGACGAGTTAGGTTAGAAATGACGTTCGTACTTGCACGACGGTCGATATGATTATATCGAGCGAGATTTGTCAGACCGTGGAGCCATCTACATCGATCAATAACACTGTATAACAAATTTTAACTTTTTCCGTAATCTGTAATATCCATTAAGTGATTCTTATAGAGTTTACTTTCCTTGCTCTATCACTTGATGAAATGATACATGTCATATTAAAATGACATGTATTTTTAGCATGGTACGTATTATCATTAAACGATATATCGAAAGTCAAAGAGATGTTCATTCATTAATTTGCAACAATTCGATATTAATAATTTTCCCGTTTCTGCTTTCTTGTGCATAGCATTAAATTTTGCAAATTTGAAATTACATATAGACCAATCCAATTATTTTCGTCTTCGTGTCACTTAGACTTTCTATTACCCATTACTTATGCAGTTTAAATCAGGAACGTGTTATGTCAGGTAATTAAAAGATAGTTAAGTCCAACTGCAGTAGCTCTGAACGGGTGGCAATATCAGAAGTACGTTGATAATTTCGTTTTTGCGACAAGTGATACACCAGGTGGAGATAATTAATTACACCTGGAAATAATTAACTGCGCCATTGCAACTGCGCTCTAATGAATTCACGGTACATTTACTTTCGCAACGAATTATTTCTCTTTAGCAGACGAGAGAGGTGAGGGGCGGTGAATGAGGAATAAGATACTATAGCAAAAGGCTTTGCTTCTTTTGAAAAACAAAGGCATCGCAATGGACGTACGATACGCAATAGCACGAAGCTCATCCAATAATATAATTAAAGTCACTTCGATTTAAATTTTCCTTTGTGAAGTTTTGCAAAATAATTTTAAATTGCCATAAGAATCATCGTAATTGCGTGAGGGAAAAGCGTTCTTCCTTTCTCTATCGTTTGCTCACTTCTCTCATCAAGTTGTCCTTTTCCGCTCATTTCAGTAAATCGTTTCATTAGGTTCAACTGTTAACATCTTTTTAAGTACACAGCGTTGATAACTATAAATTGAAAAAGGAAACGTTTTTCATTTGAAATTTAAATCTCACAATCACATATGTTACAAGGTTGAACAAGAACTCAAAGAAGAATGGAAAAAAAATGAAACTCGTTCTGCAACTCTCGTTCGTGCAACGAGACGAGACACTAAATTTGATTGATACACGTGATCAGATCAGGACCGACTTTATCCAAATGCCAACGCTTAAGTGGAACCCAGCGGCATGATATGGAAGAAAAGAAACTATAGTGCATCCATAGACAATACTGATCGAAGGGAACCTTAAGAACCCCCTATATAGCTAAGAAAGTCGTTCCTGGAGTTCAAGGGAGTGGACCAATAGCTGGAAGTCATGTGACTGGTCTCGAAGACATTAATGTAAACAATGGTATGTCATCCTTTCGCCGACTAATAAGAAGGACTAATAGTAAGTAACAGTCGCCTTTTTTTAATTGAAATATTTTAACTGAACACTATATGAATAGAAAATGTGATTGTTATTAATCGTATGTAATGACTAAAATATTATTAACCTATCTACATTACACGAGAAGCATATGATTATTACACAAGCCACATCAATCGATGCCGCTACTTGATGCTTTAATTTAGAACCTTGCTTTATGGGAGGATACTATACACTAACGGTTGCGTGTATCGCGTTACATGTTCACAATGGAAATTTTGTAATTCAATTTCGTAATCCCTCGAAAACCCGTGATATTCTAAGAATATGAAGGTTGCTTCGCCAATAATTTTTTATCGCTAACAAATCCTGATCCACATTTATTATTTCAGATATCGCAGCTCCTGAATGAAAATAAGGAAATCCTAAGTAAATCAGAATCCAAAATCTCAGTTGCAAAGTTGAATATGATCACCCGAGATCACCTTGTTTATTTATTGACCGACGAAAAAATGAATCACGACGATAGTCAAATGACCTAGTTTCGTTTTTCTGAACTTTCGAGGCTTGCAGTATCTTTGAAGTTTCAACATTACCATTGGTGAATTTTCCACTGCTAGTAAGGTCTTAATGTGTTGATAATATCGATCGAGCAAATTTCCAGTTTTTACGAGATATTTAGGAATCTAGGAATTTTTTTTTCGTAGTACCGCTCGAGCACGGAGAAGTTGATACGACCGGTTCCTACATTTCCGATACATATAGTAAGAGAGAGAAGAAACGATAAAGGACTATGGCGGTGCAGTTGTGCGCACTGTACAAGTTTAGTTCGGAAAGTTTTATCGCTCAAAGTTGCTTGGTGCCGAGGATTTCGAAATTCGATTTTCTCAACTCGGGAGAGAGCTTACTGTCTGTGAAACGAATAATTGTTTAACATGATTATTAATGAAGTACGGTGCAATAGAATTTGGAAGAAAATTCTTCTCTTCTACCTATAATATACCTAAATTGTCGTCTTTTTATCTTGGAGCGAACGCAGGTAACATTATTCGTTTAATGACCTACATTTAGCTAGGAGGTTGGCGTATTTCATTGATGGCCGGAAAGCTGATACGGTTTAACCGGTTTCAGGCCGTAGCACGCGCCAATAAAGTATACACACTTGCTTGTGCGTAACAGTACCATTTAATAAGTACACCGGCAGGGTAAATTTAATTTTAACCGTAAAACAGGTTCCTGCGCTACGACTGTGTTTACATACGTTTTTCTTGTTCTAACTGGATCGTTCAATTATTCGAGGAGGACCGTAAAATCTGACATTGTGATGACATTCATAGAACAACTTAACGGCATTATCTTGTTTTTCAACTGCCCTCCATCGTTCCTGCAAATGATTATCAAGTGGATTATAAATCTTCGTACGAACGAGAGAACCGTTTCACTCGCGACACATTTTATGAGACCTCTACAATCCCTGCGGAAAACGCGACAAACCATTTGCGGGTCATTTCACATCGATTCGATGCCGTTGGTGCGTCTAACTTGGATAAGCAAGCGAGTGCAAACATTTGCTCGCAATTGTTTATATTCCTGCATGTTTGCAGTACGAGCGTCGTCAATGAATGTCTTACAGGCATTCGTAATACGAGATTTCGTTGGATCCTAACAAGAAATTACGTTCGAACTAAGCATGTTAACCGATGCAACACCGTTGTTCCCAGAATTATTATTAGAAACTAGGTGAGTACCACATGGAACCACAATATACGTAACGCTAACATTATTTGACATATAATTACAATTAATTCATTTAAGTGGAATACCTGAAGTACAGTAAGATAAAGAAGTATTTCTACTAACCTATATTTCTTACGGTTCCCACACATCCAATAAGGAATGCGTTATTATATCACAGACACGTTTGATGCCTAATGTCGCCAACGCTGCTACGATCCTAACGCAGACACCAAAGATTATTTAGGTAACCCAAGCACATTAATTCGAACTGCGTTACACAAGGCATTAAAACTCTCACGGTGTGAGCTTGGCCGCCAGTTTATAAAACCGCAGAGCGGGTCTAAGCAACATACACCGAGTCGATACATGCGAGCTTTCCCAGGCATAAAAGCCCGTTGCATTTTACTTACGTTTTCAGTGGCCAGAGAACCACCACCGACAGGTTTTATTAAACCGTCGTTCGCGTTTATTCGGGGGGAGTACGTATACCGGCAACGAATAGCCCTTTTCGTGTGGCATTATGCGTTCCTGCCTCGATTTACCAGCTGCTCGGAGAGTTAGACGAAAGTTGAACGAGAATCAGCCTCCGCCAGGCTTATACGTATACGACGGTCGCTGGATATTATGTTGGCGCTGCTATCGTATCCAAACTCAAAACGCGTTACATCAGAATTACCTTCTTACGGTGTATGCAGCATTCACAAGGCAAGTGGTACACTCGTCCGATTTACTGAAACGAAAATCCTTCTCTTTTCTTCTTCCTTCCGTATCATTGCAACGATTCAATAAGACATCCGAAAATGTATTTCCAACGAGTTTCGCCCACATGGAAACGTACCATCAGTAGGTATAAAGATATATTCTGAACCGATCAAATGCAAATACAGCTTGATTCATAGCTAGATTTGTGTACGGTTCGCATTAATGCTTGAAAATAAATAATGAGAAAAATATTTACTTCCAATAGAAAAAAGGTCTTTGTGCGAGTATTGCAAGTATTCACAAATGATCAATTGTGCATCGAGGAAAATATTATGCGATACACGGTAACCCATTTCTTCGCTTGCCGAGACAAATTTAAAAACTCGCCATTGGTAAAATAGCGACAAGACATAGTCAAGCTATAGAGTAGTAACTCGATCGGCGATCACTTCGGGGAAAAGGGATATAATTTTCAAGGAATATTTCGTTACAGGGCAGACTGGGTAATTGAGTTAACTGACCGAGAAGACATGTACGGCGAAAGGTAAACCGAGGCCTGGTGGACGCGGACTTGGGGTGAGGATAGAGACGAACCAAGTTCGGGCCAACTTCGGATCAGGTTCGGGTCAGAAACCTGCCGGAGACGAGGCACAGACGAGCTAGAAACGGGATTCTACTCTGCTTCTCCTCTTGTCCTGCTATTATAAAATTACATTTCGAGACATTCTCGAGGACACGACGTCGTATCGGCACGAAATTTTTACCACATGCTTTCCCTCTATTCTCTGCTCATCTGTCCATGTTAGTAGATTATAGTTTAGCATAAAGTTCTCGATACAAGGATACGCAAGGTATGCAGTATAATCTCAAATATTTAAATCAGGCTGACCTTAATTTATGCCCATACTAAATTAAACGTAGCCTTCACTACATGTTGCATAATTGTAAATTGGAGTTAATCTCTATTTAAATCTTGCAGTGTTTCGTCTATAGAAAATCGTGGAATCGAAATTCTCTTTGTGGTCATGGTATGTTCGATCGACAACGTTAACTTATTATCGACCGATCCATGGTAATAAAATAAAATATCACTTTACTAATAATAGTTCTCAAAACATCGACGTTATCGATACACAGATGGCGCTGTCGTTCCAAATCAACAGGTTCTATTAACGAAATAGCCGATATGCATCTATACATTTTGTAAATCATTGAGCGATATCTCGCAGCGTTATTACACAATGTCAGAACACGTGGATGTAACACGGGTATATTAATTAAAATCTAAACGTTATAGGATCAATGATTTTCTTTGCTTACAAATTACAGAGCTTTGAGATACCTATGATCCGTGAGAAATTATTAATTGTATCGATCAGGCCAACCTATATTACCCGTTCACGTGTATCAACGATAATGAGTTGTATTTGACTGATTGAGGATAATTTATGGCTGCTTAATGCAACTCGATATTTTTCTTATCGAGCGTGCCCCACGACTGCCTAAGTACAAGCCTGCAACGACTGAGCACAGGAAGTTCCGGCTCCGATCTCTTCGGCCTTTATTGGCTTTAACTTTTCAATGCGAAAACTGATACTTTGAGCAAGTTAAGGTCAACTAAAATGACTGAAAAGAAATAGGAGAGAAATGAAGATATAGATTAAAGAATAAATAAAATCTATGAAAATGTATGACTACATACTGAACTCATTTTAAGGGGCAACCGAAGAACAAGATGACTAATCTGAAGGACAGGTAAATAAACGAAGGCAACAAAATAGAATATAGACAAGAAAAAGAAAAAGTACATGGGGAAGAGATAAACAGAAGGAAACAATTTCGAGGAAATGAGAAAACGGTGTAACGGGGAAAGAGAAGAGAGAGTAGAAAGGGAAGAACAGAGAGAAGAGAAACGAAAAGGCTGCCGATACGCAACTTGTCTCGTGGTACAGGCATAGACTACGTTTACTTTAGATCTACGATGCCACCGCTATTTCTTCTTCTTTTCTTTCTTTCTCTTCTTCTCCTCCTTCTTCTACTCCTTCCACGTTCTTCGTGTTCTCTTTCTTTTCCCCGTTTCACCAGACCAACGATGGATTCTTCCCCTTCTTCGCGGTATCTACGCATTCCTTTCCCACGAGCTATGAATTTGCTTTCGATGATATTGTTCTTGCGCCGCTTGTACGGCTCCGATAAAAATCTAGAACCTCTTCTAGGAAACAGCCGAGCATTATCGCCGATCGTTCTCAACGCCGGGATTGGTAGCTGAATTTTAATGGGTAATTTTGGGTGATTCCACGAAGGAACAATTCTGCTAAAAATGTGCACGGTGTTCTTCAGGCTTGTATCGTTTCGATTTGTCAGCGTAGCAAATTGTGTAACTTTGTTAACGTATTTAAATTATTTTGAAATTAACGTCGTTAATAATTCTATCGATATTCCAATTTAGATGAAAACTGCGCGCTACAACAATGAAAACATTGGTCGTTATATATAATTGGTTAAAGATCTGATCACTGTTCTCAAGAGGTGACGACGTATATGAGGATGCAGAGCAAACAACCTCGCGTGAACAAAAACACCGAGCGCAAAGCATGACCCAATGAAAGGAGGATAAATATTTATTCAACGAGAATTCTCAAGAATACATTTTGAATGCATTAAAAATTACATTTAAACGCGGTCTCAACGAGATATTGTATCGCCCCTCTACTAAATCTGCATGTCTCTGCACGTCTTAATTGGCCCATGTAAATCACTGCGGGGACGTAAATATATTCTTCCAATCGCTTCGCCTTAATCGGCTGCGTGCGCATGCGGACTACCGGTTACTATGACGACTTTTGATTAAAGCGCCGTTTCAAATTGGCTTTGTGCGTTTGCACTTAACAAAAGCCTTTACAATGTCCCCTTCGCAACGAGAGTTTAATATAATAGGTATTAGCAAGATGTTACGAGTGCTACTCTAAGGGGTTGGTAATACCACGGTAGGAAGCACTCCGGGGGTGCCCAACTGTTCGAACTCGTCAAGGGTTACTGTCGCTGAAAGATCAGTGCAAAAGGAAATATAACTCGAGAAGGGGACGAAAAGAAAAAAAAAGATTGAAAGAAATTGAAACAGCATAGAACAGTGGAATAAGTCGGAAAAGAATAGCAGTGTGAAACGTGAAACGCTGGATAGGATGAATGGGTAAAATGTAATCAGCTTCAGAAAGCCATGGCTCTGAGAAAAGGAAAGATATGTTATGAAAAAAGAGAACGTTGACAGAACAAAATATATGAGAAAAAGGACTATTAAAAGAAAGGAGAAAATGATGTTGGAAATGAACGGTGGAGGAGATGTATACAAAGACTGGTGTCTTTGAACACGACAAACGTGACAAACATGAACACGAGAAACGAAAGGATCGAAGATAAAGGAGATGAGTGAAGACAAAGCGAAGGTAAAAGGAAAGAGAGGATCTAAGGTCTTCTATTTCTCAACCTGTTGAACTTCTCACCTACATGACGCACGATTTGTTTTCCCTTACCACCGGAATGTTTGCTGGTATTCGTTTCCTCACTGTTCGCGCTCCTATTCGTACAATATCAAACAGAGAACGAGGGTGAAAATGGGTTAAAACGACCGTGAACGTCTATAACGTCCATTGGATATAAATCGCAATGACGATTTCCATGAATGTTAATGAGGCTATTTTATGTATTTCTGATAACATCGACTGCAACTCTTCCTTCTGTTACATCAGTAAACTCAGCATAACAACATTGACGATTCTCACTCTTTTGTGATGTCGCACAGCATGTAACGAATATGGCAACGTATAAACGCGAATTAGCAATGAAGCACAGTGAATGCGATCCTATTCGGTCAATTTGATGCTCTGAGACAATCATAGATGGCGCGAACAAAGTGTGGTAAAGTACAGTCGCCTGGTGCACGCGTTTATCTCGCTATCTTTCTTTCCTTCCATAGTATATATCCTACAATGCTGCTTTGCTTCGCATCTTCCACGTCTGCATATATTTATCGTTAAGTTACCTTTATACAAACACCAGAGGCAAGATAGATCGCACGCGAGCGCACGTCGTGAACATCGCAAACGCGTCTCTTTACTTGTGTAGTAATGCTTACTGCTCCAGGCGTAACGACCTGCCGGCATATCTGGACTGTGCAATGATAGGAGCCCCTAAATGGAGTTGGCAGCTTTCCTTGGCCGTTTTCACGATAAAGACGCGAAGTTGTTTCTGGCGTCTTCCTAGCAGACGGAGAATTTCATTAAGTCGGCGATACTCGCCGAGTTCAGGAAGAATAAGGAGCCCTTATTCTAACCAGCCGGCGTGAGCTTTGCCGTAGGAATTTCTTCTATAACGACACTGGCCAACCATCGGTCCCATCGACAAACATCTAGTTTCAGTGCGCCACTTTACCGCATGACAAAACGCCGAAACCCAAGACTTTACCAACTTTCTTTATTAAGATCTTTCGCCGAGCTGAAATTTTCAGATGGCCGCTCGATCTGGAATTTCTTGGTTCGAGAAAAGACTCCGTCGGTAAAACTTTTCCTAATACAAAAATTTTCACTCCGGTCCTTTGACGGAAGTTTCACGTAGTTCGAGATAAACAATTTTCATCCACTGGCTTTTTATTTTTTCCCAGGGACAGGAATTGTTTCGAAGATTCCAATTGTGCCGTATCTGATGAGAACATCACACGTACGTGTGCGAGAAGATCTATAATATTGCAACTATGTGTTTGAAACGTCCATGCACACAGATAAATTGCCTTCTGATAGCAATCAGTAAATGCATTGCCTATTCCGTGTTAGACGGAATCAATTGACTTGTGTTAGAATTATTAATACAATTCTGGGATTTACACATGATATATGACCAATCGAACTGAAGATAGCAACGACATTTAACCGAATTGAATATCTCGAGTTATTTTCGTACCTTACTATTCCAACTATCTCTATTTCGGACAGCAACCCATTTTCCTACAAACAATTATAAAAGTTTATACTTTCTATTTGGTGTTTTGAATTACTGAAATTTTTTGAGTTGTCGATAAAAAAGATTTCAATTCCGATCCGGTTGCCGACCGAGCGAACCGTAACAGGTAAGACAATGGTCTACGTTCTTAAAGTAAATGCGTACATTTCCGTTTCTTGGAACGCTGTAATTGGTGCGAAACTGAGAGTAAAGCATGTCGCAAAATCATTCCAGACGCTCTTGAACGACAAATTAGTATTGCAACCCCGAAATCTTCAATTGGCTTAAATTCGTTTAACTTGTCAAGACAAATAGATTTGTTTCCACCCACGATTTTCCCCTTCTGCTCAACCCGTTTCACGAATTCCTCGTTTTGTCAACGGAAACTTCCTTCAACTTTGCGTATGTATCTGTCGGTAAAACATTTATGAATATTACAAGTGCGACGTAGCATCGTTTTTAATTATCTGCTGTAAAATTAAAGAGAACCACGAGCTTCTGTAATGTTTCAATTAAATTTGCAACGTATAGCAATCCATCGAGGTTATACTTGCACAGCCGTGGCTGCTTTTATTTAGTTACGCATACCAAAGGCTATTCTATTCTGTTTTCGAGCAATATTCGTATTTTCATGTGTACGGGATCTATTTATACAAATAGTTTCGCATGATATTCGCTTCGTTCTTTATAGGGGGCAAGCGGTGGGTGAATAATGCGCAGTACAAATTGCGCACAAAGACGCACATACATGTCAACACTTTTTGCCTCTTGTTACGGAAAGGAGGTAATTATGGTCAATTTATTGTTTGTGCGCCTTCAATCAAACCAACAGACAAATTAACAACGACTACCATGCAGAATTGTTTGAACAGCCAACCATTGACTGGCACTGTTTGCAATGCCGAGAGCAAACTGTAGCAATTGAACCTATCCAGTAACGGATCCAATGGTTGATCATTGATTTCACTGTAATATCGCACGGTAATTTTCAACAGCTATTACTGAATTGATACACGAAAAGATAATTCAATGACACTTCGTTACAAACATATTCGAGTTTTCGAATAAAAATCTCGTTATTTCTTTATAACCCAATCGTAATTATTTCATCAGATAATTTTATAATCCCCAATTTTTGGACACATGGTTCAGTGGCGGACAATATATCTATATTTCCGAATAGGCCAGAAATATCTCACGTATTAGATGGTACGAAGTATAGATGTTAGCCGATAGATGGAACGTCTGTCTTCAAGTAAGCTATTTTCTCTTTTGTTAATTTGTAAACTACAAATGAAACAGGCTACTTTTATTTTCGTAACTAGTTTCTTTTATGTTTAAAGTGTTATTGTGAAAGAATACTTTGGAAATTATGTTCTCCACTAACTGTAAAATAATCTCAAATATGATATCCGAACATTGATTAAGTGGTTACTTTCTTACATAAATTTGAGGTTATATCGCGAAAGGAATACATGTAACCTGATTTCAACAAAATGATACACCTTGTTACAGATATATCTGCGTTTTTCAGTTATCGATTCCCATCGTTTTCTTTGGACTCTCGTAGCCTGGACTTCTCTTCTTTCGCTCTTTCATCCTCTTGTAAGAATACCAAGGTGTGTGGAAGAGAACGCTAAAATGAGTATATACGAGGGTTGGTCTAATTGTAGCAGCACGCTGAAGGTACGCAACAAAGCGGCGCCGCTTCATCTTGTATACAGTTTTGCACCCTCAGACGCTGACGCCCATGAGAGAGGATACTTGTGTCCGAGCTCACACGTACAATCCGAGCACAATTACATGCTTTTCAGGCTCCCACTTCGGTATTAGGTGCGTCTGGTTTTTTTTACTTCGCTTTAATCTACCGGGGAACCGATAATCATGTTTTCGTGAAATTTCACCATCATTTTTTTCCCTTTTTTCTTCCGATTACCACCCATCTATGGTAAACGGTATTTTTTACTCGTGTCTCAAAAACATTTAATGTACCAACCGTGTATTTCAAATCGAGTGAGAAATTGTTTTGTTAAGGGTACCAAGTAAGTAAATTTTGCATATTTTATATAAATAAAATATATTTTTATCTTTTTCACTCATAATATACGATATTTCCACTGGGCAATATTTTTATATATATATTTTTGTATTCAATAGATCGATGTGTTTTGCTCCATAAAATAAATGGAATAAATGGGAGAGCAAACAACTTTCCGATTATATTATTTGCTGCAACAATTTGTCATTTGTTAAAATGTTTTGTTTGCTTGAAATTAAAAAATGTTCTGCGCAATTACGCAGGTAATTAATTATCATAAAATGGCGTATTATGGAACTCATTAAGCTTTTTGTTCCGTAGTTATGAGCAGAGGGATATAAAAAACGGACTGAGAAAAAGAATAAAAATGCAGTACGTTCTATTGATAAACGGGTTGGTTTATAAAATTTTGTACGTTGACCTCAAGATCGTTATCCTATATTGTTTTTATAGGATGCTATTTTCGTTGGTTTCGTCATGATTCACCGTACCAAAAAGTCTCTTTGTTCTCTCACGAATCACGTACCACGTTAGTTGGGTGTGTTGTATATTATAATTAATGAGGAAAAAATAAAATATAATATATAAAATGGAAGAAAGTAAACATGGTAAGAAAAATAACAAAATTAATAAGCAAACGAATAAGGCAATTATCTTAAACAAAAGGACCAAAAACAATGTCTCGGTGTTTACAAAGGACAAATATATCAAAGTAATTATATAAACCAAGTATCACTCATGGATAAGATCCTGTATAACAGTAATTACGGTGATCTATTGTACGTATAATGCTCACGAGTGTAAGCTCATTGAAGAGGTACTCAATTGTAGCTTAGCAATGTGGTTCAACGTGCAAATGGTACTTATGCTTGTGGATAGACAGTTCCGCACGCGTTACTCATTACGCATTGTAAGTATGAATATACTTGTTCACATTCAGTTTTTTTTTTTGTAAACCATTCACACTTATCCTTTATAAATGAACAATACCGTCGAAATAAAAACTTTCATGCAAATAAATAAATCTGCTAACTAAAACTATGTCTTAAACGATAAGGCTTCATTTTATATTGAATTTTAAATTCTGATTGTAGGAAGTCAGTGGTTGATAATGTATTCTGGAATATTAATACCAAAATGAAAATTATTAAGAGAACTACATTTTATGCAGTGTCATGAAAATTGAAGAAGTTTAACCATTATGAAATTTGATGTTTCATTCATACGGGTAACCATTATTCAAGAAGGAGTGTCGCCACCTGGCAAATCATATTTTAACCGTAAAGCGATTAGTTCGATAGTTTTTGACATAAGTGACATATATACAGCATTGTGTACGGCCGGTTAAACAGAAAATACATAAGCCAGATTCGAAGTTAATCTAGAGTCAGAAATCCCGGTGGCACGGTGTCTGTCAAAAGATAGATCAATGCTCGTATTTCAAACTTTACTTTATGTGTTTGGTACTTCGCTCTTAAATCTTGTAACCGATACAATCCATGGTTAGAAATCACTGAGAGAAATCACGAATTTAAACGAGGAAAGAATAGATGTACGTACGAAATGGCACAAAAAATTCGGTCACAAGTTACATCTATACTACATACGTTTCATACCACTGCACTATAGTTACAAACTATTAAATATCAATGAAGCTCTTGTTACTTTGTCAATCATATAAACAATATAATTAATTTTGAAACTGTAGACTTACGCAATTTCTCACATCATGAAACATTAGCCATTGTACATGAACATTACAGTTCGTCAATAAGATCTTTAGTACCGACAATTCACGTTACGCCACGAAAGAATTTCTTTCTAGAACATCATCGAAAACCCTCTAGAGAATTCCGTGTCACTAACACATCCATGCGTCGAATTATCGACTATATCTCGAGTTACTCGTGCAGAAACAAACACATAGTTGTTCAGTGGTTTTTTAACACTAGGCACGATGCGCAGAGAAAGCTCGTACGAACACAAAGTTTATGCATGTGAGACGCGCTATCTTATACGTTGGAACGTTTCCACAGATTGATAATATCGCGAGTAGATGCTATCGACGTACAATTCTCGCGACTTCGCTTCTTCGCGAATTATATGATGAAACGTTGATTAGTCCCTGAAGGCAGTAATTTGGTAACTTTTCTAGTGAAGAGAGAGAAGAGAAAAAAATATCAACCGTAAGATTTATGGACTACATATGCAAATGAAATTTTACGAGATAGTAACGACTTCATTTTCAGGTCCTGCCAACGAATTGATCGATGATAATGGAAAAAAGTACTAAAACATCTATGTTATGGCTATAGAAGAAAATGGAACGATATCAAAGCTACAGTAATACATTTACAGCACTATTTTGAAATTCATTTCATGATATATCGAAGATAATAAATGTCATATTAATGCTGTTCCAGGTTTTCAAATGAAACTTGATAGGAACCATTGTAGGAATTTTCATCATAACGAATAAATGGACATATTTCTACAATATGAGTTATGGAAAACTCTAAATGGAAGCTGGATGTTAAAAATAAAATTGAACTTTTTCATTACAATTATCTACCGATTAGCTATTGTGCGGAGGGCTTGCAGAAAGAAAACGAGAAGCAAAGGACGGAATACGTGACGAAAAACGCAACGACCCTGTAGTGAATAGAGAGTTAGGAAAGCACGAAGAAGGATTTTTTCCTCTTTCTTCGTAACACAATTTTTCGCTTTAATAGCTGAGAATACTCGCGGAATATCGCTAATGGGAAAAGACAATTTCTCTTCGTTAACATATTCTCAGGTTAGATTATAACAGGTGATATTATCGTCTACATCGATTATGTGTATACGCATTCCTGTGCTAATAGTCGTTCACGTGGCGATACCACGATAAGTGGATAATACGTTCGTACAATGGCGGAACTAGTGACATAAGTGTATTTTAACCGTATCGTGTGGGAAAAAGGGAGAAAAAGAAAATACTAGCTACTGTACTAACTCGATGTATTGTTTTCAACGTCAACCAACAGTTACATGTCGTATTAACGATTCCATGTCCGCACTTTCTACTAAGACGTAAATGGTCGCATTCACTTCCGTTCGGGATAGCAGTGTTAACAATCTAGAGCACTGCCGAGTTATTATTACATCACAGAACAGATGCATTACTTCTTTTGCTTCACGTGTACCTCTAACACGGAAAACCACATGCAAAATACTTTCGATTGTTATCTATTTAGTACATGTAGGTGCATAATAACAGGTTTAAGTTGACCTAGTGCGCGATTTAGTTAAAGAATTAGAAAATGTATTCAGCGTATAAATGTTACGAAGCGAAATCGGTTAGAGGTTATGTATGCGATCACGTGTACAAAGTACATGGGGCACTGTGCTCTTTCGCGATGAATACTTCAGGTATCGTTAGGAGTTGAAGCAAATCGTAGTTAACGTGATACTATGCGTTTTTATGAGTCACTATTTGTTTCTAGTGAAATTTATGACCTAGTACTAGTGTGCTTTTTTCCATTCATGGCAAATTATGAATTACGCGGTATAACCTTCCTGATGGACGTCAGTGAACCGCAGATCACGTAGCACTATGGCTTTTGCTGACTGATAATAAACTGCAAATCACGTAGCGCTAAGTTTTTCTGTACTTAAAAGCACGTTACTTAATATCACGAGCGCATTGAAGTTATGCAGGTCCCCGATGTTCTAGGTTATCCACAGAGCAACGAACAATATTTTTCGAAGCCATTTCAAGTTTAGTACTGAAGTTTCGCTATAAATATTTTGCTGTCAAGTAAACTCAAATAATTTTCTCATATACAAATGTCTGTTAAGAAGTGCCAATATTATTCGACCAACTTCCATACTTGCAGGTGTAGATCATAAATTCTGTTCCAACGGAAACTGTTCCGTTCTAACCAAACTAAAAGGCACAATTATTTAAAAATTTTACATATCGGCCATGAATTTAATAATTCATATATTGAAGATTATTAGCTGTGCATGATATCCGGTACAACTAAAGAAATAAACGAGATGGATAATTATTATAAAAATTCGTATGAAATAAAGAATGCAGTGCACGAAAAAACCTGACTTTAGAGAAGAAAGAACA